TGCCGAGGAAAGGGCACAGTTAGGCACCGATTCCCTGGTGTGGAGACCGACCCCTGCACCGGGGGTACCCGCTGAGGTCCGGCGCTCGCTGCTGGCGCAGGCTGGCGAGTTGAGGGGGGTTGGTTCTACCGCGGCTGCTCCTTCTCTTTGCTTGGGGGCGAGGCGCAGCGGCTGCCTTAATTTCTCTCCTTGTATTTCGGCCGAGGCTCCCAGAGCTCGCCCTCCCGCGCCAGCTCCGTGCTGAGAAATCAACAGACATAAACTAACCCCCGAGCGAGGCTTTCTTTCTCCCAGCCAGTGATAATTAATCTGCGCCTAAGCCCCGCGCTCTGCTCTCCGATTCCGCTCCGCCTGCCCAGCTGCGCGTCAGGTACCAGCGCAGCCCGGAGATGCCGCGTTGGGTTAGAGCCAAGGGCTTTCTCCCGCGGCCCCCCGCGAGCTGCTAGGGCCGTGGGCCTGAGCCCGGCGTGTATCCCTCCGGCTAGGCAGCCCCGCGTGGGCGATCCCCGCTCGGCCCATACCCCGGCACGGCGGGTCGCTCCACACTGGGCGGCCTCTTGTGCCCGGTCTCCAGCCAGCCCTGTCGCTGCAAGGAGGGGGGATCAATCTACATCCCTCCCTCCCCCCCCCCCCCCCACGGCGCCAGGCTGCCGGGGCTAATGGAAGCCAGGGAGCGGGGCAATCAATCCAGGCCAGCCTGAGGCTCCCGCCAGGCGCTGGACCTGGGATCGAATTATCCCCCGAGGGGTTGCAAGCGCCAGGTGCACGGGTGTAGATTTGCGGGTGAGCGCACATTTCTAGATCGGCAGGCGGCTCTCGGATGCCCCCTGCGTCAGCCCCAGGAACCCTATTAACGGGGTCTGAATCTCCCAATCCGGCCCATCTCACTCCGGCAATGGGCGCGCGTGGCTGCCCGGGACCTAGCGCAGGGCGTCCAACCTGATTCGCTGAGAATAGTCCAGAGGGGAGGGAAGCTGCGCTGACTCGAATCCGATTTACTGGCTCAGCCAAATAAAGCGTTTACACCCAGGCCCGGGAAGGGTCTCCCGATTGCTGCTTCGTATTTGCTTAGTTTCATTCTGATTTCGCCGGCCTGTGCCCGGGACCTCTGCGTTATTCTCGCCCCCTTCCCATTGCTGGTATGAAATAGAGCAGCCAAGCCACATTGAACTAGGAACGAAGTCCGCAGGGAACACCCAAAGGACCCTAACATCTTCCAGGAAAGAAGGGCAGGAACATTACCAAGGGATGCTCTGGTTGGTTAGAGTCACACCGTCTGGACTTCAAATATTGAGCCCAGCCTGGTCCCAGAACAAGTCATTTCACTTAATGTCCTGAAGAATTAGTGCTTTCCAGAGCTGAAAAATCAGAGCCAAGTCTCGACGCTCTGGGGTTTAGGGACCCTCCCACACGGAGCTGCTCCGACTAAGTTGGAAAGGAGATCTGGTTCATGGCTGAGCGCCTGGGTGTTAAGATCATACAAATAATAATGGGTAATAATAAAGAAATTCAAGCTGACATTTGAATAAACTTGCGTTCTACTGGGCATTACTACTCGATGCCTCTATTTGCAGGTATGTTATTGGCTAATCACTGGTTCTTTCTTTCTTTGGTCAAAGGCTTGAAAGTAAAATTTACTTTGATTTCAGGATTCATCCAGCAGCGCATGGAAGGAAGAGTCGAATGCTGCTCAGTGTCTAGCTAATGGTAGCAGAGTGGGTATTTTCGTAGCCTGCCGCCAGTATCTGAATGTCTCAATTTGCCTGCATAGAAGATTTTAAATGACAGATCTCATCCATTAAGATCGACGAACTGGGACCCGAGCCAGCAGCCTGTAGGCAGGTTAAACTCCTATTAACTAACTGCAAAACGACTGTTAACATGAACCGGTCCGTTATGCTCCGTATTTACTTAATTTAATTTCACCCCTTTCAGGTGGGTGGCGGCGGAAATATCACGTTCTTTTCCCACCAAGTGCCTGTTCTGCGGATACCGAGGAGTTTCCCGTAATGGGCAAATACTGAGTCAGGAGGCGGGGGGAAAACAAAGAAAAGAAAAAAAGCTCGATTTGAGCCGCGGATAGACACGGGTTACTCAGGCCCGGGCTTCTGCAAGCCAGCTGCTGATCACTGGTGCGAGCAGCGTCCTGCTCATCGGACGCGCCGAACACCAGACCGCACGGAAGGCGCGCAAACCCCGCTCTCCAAACGCGCCTTTTAGGCGGTGGCAGCCGTGAGCGCCGCGGGTTAAAGGAAATACAAACATCTCCCCCCACGTACACGTTTTGCAGTCTCAAAAACTTGAATAGTTTGTTCTTGATTTACCCAGACCTTCATTCCGCCTGCGCTGGGGCAGAATATACCCCCAGATCTCCCCCCTCTGCCCGTGTGTATGGAAAGCGAATGCGCGCAAGAACGGGCTTCATTTTGCACAACGGTCTGTGGGTGGTGCGACAAGCAGCCTAACACCAGTGCAGCGGGATCCCAGATGTAGGCAGGGATCCCTCATCGCTGGTATGGACCAAAACAGACAACCCGAGCTATGCTGTAATCTTTGCCATTTTCCTCCTTGCTCATCAGCGCGGCGATGCCGTTTGCAATCGCTCCCTGCCAGCAGGCGTGTCCCAATTCGCATCCGGTTTCCTTGCTGGTTTCAATTAGACTGGTGCTCTAAGCCAGTGGTTCTCAACCAGGGTACGTGTACCCCTGGGGCACGCAGAGGTCTTAGAGGGTGCATCAACTCAGCTAGATTTACACCAGGCTACATAAAAAGCACCAGCGAAGTCAGTACGAACTAAAACGTCCTACAGACAATGACTTGTTTGTACTTCCCTATACACTATACACTGAGATGTAAGTACAGTATTTATATCCCAATTACTTTGTTTTAGAATTATATGGCAAAAATGAGAAAGGAAGCCATTTTTCAGGAATAGAGCGCGGTGACACTTTTGTATTTTTATGTCTGATTTTTAAATAGTTTTTAAGTGAGGTGAAACTTGGGGGTAGGCAAGACAAATCAGACTCCTGGAGGGGATACAGTAGTCTGGAAAGGCTCAGAGCCCCTGCTCTAGGCAACTTTTGAGTTACTTTTTTGTTCATCTCAGACAGATTTTTGTCTTAAGAAAACAAACAAACAATCACACACAAAAACTTTTCCAACGGAGGGAAAATGCATATTCTACGCACAGCGCGATCTTTCTCCAAGGACTTGGGGAGGGAGGGATTTGGTTGGGACATACTGAACAGACTGATATTGTCGGTGTTATGTTTTCTACTCACCGCCTTCTGAACAGACTGCATGCACACAACCCCCAGACTGCTTTGATATGGACTCCGATAGGAAACAAGAATAACAAACAAAACAAAAACCCCATCAAAGCACGGATAATGCCAGTCAGTATAGTTCGTTTGAAAACCTGATGGCATAACATGGCCCTCAATTGTGTAGAGGGCTATTTAAAGACAATTGATGATGCTTGGGCATTAAAATAAGAATACCGCTTGTTCAGATGATCCCTTGCCCCTTCATTCCCTTCTCCTGCCTTGCATTCAGTGCGAACTCTCCCTCCGCGTGAGGAGAGGAGTCGGTTCGCCCTGTCCTGGCTGAAAGTAAAACAGCCCACAGCGCCATCCTCCTTGCTGACTTGGAGCTCGCTTACGGTCAGTTTAATTTTGTTTTTAATTAAACCTCAGCTTCTCCACAGATCGGATCCTGCACTCGGTGGGCGTCCCACGCGTGTTGTGCGGGAGTCATGGGTGCCCCAGAAAGCAGGATCGGGTCCCAGCGGGTGTAAATCTCGGGGAGGGGGGGGGACTAATTCCAAAGCCCTGCAGCTCCGAGCGTCCCGCGGGGAGTGCGGCGCAGCTGCCAATCACGCGTCATTGCCATAAACAGGAGTCACCAAAGCCTCCTGCGTGCGACCCTCTTTTTCTGAAGACACAGACAGAATTGGTTACTCCACACTTAGATTTCTCCCATATAAGCCCACCTATAGATGAGATGAGACAGAGAGACAGATATTTCCACACACATCATCCAGGCGTCAGGGCTCGAGAAAATGCGCTCGCCAGCTAGCTAGCAGGAAGAAGTTTTGAGTCATCAGCCCTGTGTCTCCAGGAAAAACAAATCCACCCTGCAAAGAAAGTGTTGGTAATTTTTCTCAGAACGGGAAAAAATGAAGTTTAGAAGGAAGGGAAGGAGAGTGACCAATGTTTCGTGTGGTTTTCTCGGAAAACCACGTTCACTGTAGCTATCGGGCCGGATTTCAGAAGGGACGATCCCCCGCAACTCCAGACGAAGTCAGCGGGAGCTCGGGGGGCTCGGCTCCTTTGGAGAACCGGGCCCAGAGCCCACCATATATTTTCAGTTTAATCAACTCCATCAAAACTGAGCGGGAGAGTGTGGCTCCCCTCTGCCGCCCCCAGATCTCCATTGCCCGGAGTTTGTGCAGCGCAGTACTCATCGCTTACTACTTTGATGCACGGGATAGTTAGGGGCGGAAAACTGCTCCTGTCTTTTTATTTCCTTGGTATTCCTCCAGTGCGGACAGCTATTTTTAGCGCGTCCGTGGGGTGCTTGAACGTTGGCTGCAGCTGGACAGATAACGGGCCCTGGGGAGCTGCCCCCCACGAACAACCTCGCCAGGAGCAAGAAGCGCTCCTGTGACCTGAATCCCAGCAAAGCTGCCCCCGGCTGCCCCTTGCAGAAAAGGACATTTTCTTTTTTAAAGGCAGGATCTTGCAGACGCGGTAACAAACTAGAGCAAGGAAACGCACCCCCACCCCCCACCCCGCCCCCACAAACCACACCGAGCCTTTCTTTGCAACAGCCAAAAACATTTAATGTTTCCACACGGACACCGGTGTAACTATAAAGCACAGGGACTCCCTGGGGGCGCGTGGCAAGAGTCCACGTGACGCAGAGGCTTCGCACCCCTGGCCTCTCTCCTTTAACTCTTACCCCTCCACGAGGCGCCTGCCAAGGCTGGGGGCTTCCTTTCACCGAGCGTCCTGCTGCCTTCTCGGGGCGGTGCTAGAGGGCTGCGGGGAGGCAGCCAAGCGGGAGGGGAGCAGCTCTCTGGAGGCGGCCGAGGCCAGGTTCCCCGCGTGGCATTGCTGGAGCTCCTCTTTCCCCGGCAGGTCCCCAGAGGACACCACACAGTCTTGGTCAGGGTCATTGCTGTTTCCTCCGCCGCCCCCCGCTCCCCGCTTTTTATCCTCTTCCTTCTTCCACTTCATCCTCCGGTTCTGGAACCAGATCTTTATGTGTCTCTCTGTCAAGTTCAGCATGACCGCCAGCTCCACGCGGCGGGGCCTGGAGATGTACTTGTTAAAGAGGAACTCCTTCTCTAACTCCAGGAGCTGCGCTCTCGTGTAGGCGGTTCTCGTCCTCTTGTTCTCCTCTTGCTCTACCACGTACGACCCACCTAAAGAGAAGGGAGAGTTAAAATCTACCCACCAGGGACTGGGACCCGGAGCGACGCTGGAAAGGCGATAGAATCTTCTCCTCCTGAACCCAACCTGGAGCGGGGCAGGTTTCCCCCCAGGTTTCCCCTTTTACTCACAGATGAGCGGTTTAATGGATCGGGGACACTCTTTCGAGATCCAGACCACACTGAAACCACGGGCGTGTGTGGGTATGTGGTTTTTAATAAAACAGACGGAGCCCAAACCCCAGCACAAATCGTTGTCTGCATCCCAAAAGGTTTACAAATCCGGACCAAGAAATTGACAGCGGGGTATGGATTCCGCCCTCTAAAGAATGAAACTAACAAGAAAAGGGCCGCGGTGGATTTTTAAGAGAGTTTCTTTAGAAACGCCAGCACAGAGCGAAGGCACTCGTCCGAAGCTGCTCCGCTTGTCACCTGTAAATCCGTTTTAGTAACAAAACGCGCGCTGTGTGGTGTGGATCCCGAGTAAAATCCCCGGGCCACACTGTACCATCAGTGTTTGAGTGCAAGTCCCCAGCTGAAATCAAGGTCTCAAAACTGACGAAATGATATGGCCCGTTGGAGGAAAAAATAACAGCCGGTGCATTTGTGACAATGGCTGACGGTTCCTGGCATAGGGCGATTTGTAAATTTCATGCTTTACAAAAACCGGAACTGCCTTTGAGTGACAAAACCGCCCCTTTTTTGTAAATTAAACCTCCCAAACACCTCACGCCGCCTCTCGCCCAGTGCTCAGGCTTTCGGAGACTCTGCCACGTCACCATCACTGCGGCTGTACGAAAGTGAGGGTCCTTCTGCACTGCCATCAGGAGCCTCCGGTTTTTATAATTCTTGTGCAAAAGTTTAAAACTTTTTTAAACCGCTAGATTCGGTCTAATTTAGAGGCCCCTCCTTCTTTCCTGGAGCATCCCAACCTCCACTGCAGTCAATGCCCCCTGGCTATTTTCAGTTCATAGGAGTGCAAAAATTACTGTTGCTATGGCTCAAAACCTTAACATCACTCTTGACTTTACAAAAGGAAAGGCGGATTCCTGGAAAGAGAAGTTTTCCTTAATCGGCCTGGAATTTGCAACGGATTAGTCCTAATCCAGCCATCATCCCAGGCACTTTACAAAGGCAAATACAACTCCCCAAATGGTGGAACCGGGGAAAAAAAGTTTCTGTTGTGTTCACAGAGACTATGTTCCACCGGGATATTTTAAGAGGCTCATTAAAAAAACCCACAAACAAACAAATAAGAACACTGGATCCTACAGTCCTTAGACAGACCTGGCCAGTGACTGAAGCAGAGCTCACAGCCGGATCGGGCCCTAAAGCCTCGTGCAGCTAACTAATCGGAATGTAGGCTTCCTAGCATAATAACAGCTGGGAATAAATCTATGTGCCTGGTGTCACAATTCAGGTGCAAAACCCATCCGGACAGTCCTACAACTGGACTCCTAGTCCCCAGCCACCTCTTCCTTTCTCTGGGTGTTTGCTGGACGATGAGTATTGTATGTGGGTGTTCTAAGGTTAAACACGCTTCAGACAGGTAGTACTGTTAATCATCAATCAATTAATTAATTATTGTGGTTTTAAGCAAATAGCCTTCACAACTTACAAGATCTTTAGAAATGAAAAGGGAAAAGCTACTGTATAAATTATTATTATTATTTCTTGTTTGTATATACCTTCTGGGGGGGCACTAATACCCGTTTAAATAACAAGAGCCATTCGATTTATCATGTCACTCATTGTTAAACGTCCATTTTAAAAATTATTATTATTTTGCCCGTTATTACAAAACCAAAAAAGAATTGCGGGCAGAAAAGAAAAAAAAAAAATCTTGTCCGGCTCAGTGAAACTCAAAGGATCAGGGACGTTTAAAGAGAGTGTGAGCTTAATCCGTCCTTTTGCCTAGGTATTACAATACCCCTGTAAAGAAAAACAAGACGCTTTTTTGGACACTGCTGCAAATACCGAAGCGTAGGTGCGTGACCCATACGGATCAGTTGAAGTCAGTGCCATAGCTCTAAGAGCAGGGCCCCGTGGGTTTTAAGAACTATGTTTTAGGCAAAGCTTTAGGAATTCAAGAGGAAGTTTGTACGAGAAATATGAGCCCAAGGCCCAGTTGTGCTTTTCGTGGACTTTGTAAATTCTAATTAAAAACCTGCTTCACCTAACGAGGGTCCTTCCGCACTGACATCAGGAACCCCGGGGTTTATAATTCCTGCGCAAAAATTTAAACCTTTCTTTAACCTCTAGACTGTCTAATTTCGAGACTCCCCCTTCTTTCCATGAGCACCCCAAACTCCATTGCAGCGCTCCTGGCTATTTTCAGTTCATGGAAGTGCAAAAATATATTGTTGTTATAATAACTCCAAACCTCATATTTACTTTTGACTTTACAAAAAGAAAGGCAGATTCCTGGAAAGAGAAGTTTTCCTTAATGGGCCGGGAATTTGCAAGGGATTTGTCCTAATGCCATTGACTGCAATGGGAAAAGGCTCAAGCCCCAGTTGTTTACGGTTATTTGTATGTAAGATATCTTTGATCCCATATTTGTTTTTACCAGTATATGTTAACGTGTAACAAGGTGACGCTGCAGATTTCCTCCGAATCCTTGCATCGCTACGAATCGGGCCAGTTTGTAGGCGATACCACTGCCAGTAACCAGCTACGCCATTAATACCAATGAACTTAATTCCAGATATTTCTGAATGAAGCTGCTATTTCTAAATATAAGCACACATTCATACAAATATACATATATAGTATATGTAATGTGCATACGCAGGTGAATATACGTACATTTACATAGACTACATACTCTATGCAAATTACATAAATATGTGTACCTATCGTGTGTGTATATATGTATACATGTGTGTATACATTATATAGGTGTGTATATATCTCTATATACACACACTTATATTTACATTGTGTGTGTGTGTGTGTATATATATATATATATATATTTCACACACATGTTCTGAACCAAGCTTTTATGTAAGAAGCTACTAAGATTCCTTGAAAAAGTCGGTATGGGAGAGTTTGTTAATGATTTTTAGGTTTTCAGGATCTCTCCCTATATTGAACTATGAGAAAAGAGGGCGCATATCTGTTTTCTTTCTATTTATTAAACGCATGTGAAATGGCTATGATTTTACCCCTAGATCAAAACCTCTGCGAATATATTTGCCCTTTAAATGGGTGAAAGGAAAGACGTACATTTCTTGCAGTTTTCTTTTCTTTTCAGATTGTCAGGGTAAGGAGCAAAGAACACATTTTGATTCTGGTTTTCAGTTTAACGTAATTTCCAGAATATTTCACAATTATTTCAATATTTCACTACCTTTTCAACTGTCGGAACACAACCATTAATGTAATATTTGCTGTAGAGGTGTGACAAAGAGTGCACAAGGCACCTGGCAAGATAACATTGTGCAGCGAGAGACAGAAATATCGTTCTACAGCGGAACTTTCTGTCCAGATAGAGTTTCTTCCCCTTGCTGGCAGGCAGCTAATTTAGTTTGTGTATTGTGTCCCCTACCCAGGTTTAAATGGTTTCCACAGTAGGATATAAGCAAGGCTAAAACAATCGCTTGCAGACAAAAACTGAACCGCCAGGTAGGCGGGTTTGTGGGGTTATTTAAAAAAATATTTAGGGTTTAATATTACTTTCAAAATGTCTTTTAGTTTACACTGTATATGGTAAGGGCATTTCAAACAGCAGCTTGGCTGTGAGAACTGCGGGACATTCTGAGCCATCTGGTTTTTATGTGGTGAAATCAACGAGGGAATCTCAAAGCGATGGCACAACATGGCCTTTTCGTAGAATCCGACTGTGCGAGTAGCCCTGGGCATTTCCACTGGAAGTTGTCCATTTCCAATCCGGCGCTCCCTCTACCCTGAGAGTACTGAGACAAGTGGCAAAACCTGCATTTTCCGGATCAGATCCTGAAGTTAATGGCACAGCTCTCAGGGTGAACTCCTGGCCCTACTGAAGTCAAAAGGCAAAGCTCCCATTGATTTCAATAGGGCCAGGATTTCACCCTCATTGTCTACAAATGGACCAAGATGGGGCCCCTTGTGTTTCCCTTATCCCTTCTGTTAGGCATGGACCTCTGCCCTCCATTCTTTGCACACCCCGCTGCTGCAAGGGGAGTTTGCGAGGGGCCCCGGGCCAGTGTCCCAACAGATTTCATATTTCCCAGTGACCGGATGGAATTTACCACTAACAAACTGGCGGTGAGATCAGTATAAATCCCTGGACAATAAGCCGCTGGTCAGGTGGGTTGAAACAGCAGCACACTGTGTGTTTAGCTTAGATAAGTATCAATTTCAGCCTGATACTTAGTGCTAATTAGTTAATTAGTTAAACTAATTAGTTAAAATTTGTTCAGTGCTTTGCAACTGTGAAGAACTCTATAAGGACTAAGTATCATTGCAATCGCTTTGCCATCACCCAGCAGAAAACTGAAAGCGACAGAGCTTTATTCCTGAGCTTTTCTTATTGATTTGAAATGCGATGGCTTCATAGCTGGGCACATATTTCTGGATACAGTGTACATATTTATAACTATGCAAGAGTTGCCAGAGTATGCTCTCTCTCTCTCTCTCTCTCTATATATATATATATATATACAGGTTTGAATCGAAAATGGACTCACAGATCTCAGGACGTTGAAATACATCCCCATTTAAAACTGGGGCTATCGCTAATGCCAAACTGAGCCCAACACTTCCTGAAAGAGGGATTTTATGGAAGTGGAAGAGAAGAAACATTTACAGGAGAAATCTTGCGAGCCTGGCTTACTTCCAAGTGAAACAGCTAACAAACGATGGGGAATTTCCCTAAGCCCCTCTCTGAAAGTGATCACACGGGGCTATCCCAAACGTAGGCTTCATTTAGTAACCCGAAGGGGAATTATTAGTGATGAGAAGGTTTCCTTGACATTGTACAAGACAGAAGGAGAGGAAGCAACAGCAGCAGCAGAAGAAGGCGACTATCTTACCGGTCCATTGTCCCCTCCAGGCGTGAGATTTGGTGGATTTCATCCATGGGAAAGGCAATTGGACTCTAGGTTCCTCTAAAACCCCCGTGTCAGTCCCATCTGCAAAAGGAATAGCTTCCTGGGGGGGATGAGGAAGCTGAGGGTGATGAGGGTGGTGATGGTGATGAAGATGGGAGACCCCTGGATCCTCTGTAATGGGGGGTACCTCGTAGGGTGAAATGTCTGGCGGGCTGCCTTGCTCCAGCGCACCTAAAGCGCTGGAATAGGGTGTCTGCTGCTGCCTGCCCATGTACAGGCAGGCGGGGGGGTTCTGGTTGTAGTCCGGTGCCTGCGATCTCTGAAACGCACACGAATCCTTGTAGAGCTGGGTCGATGCATAATACTGTTCTTCAGTGTTCATGGCTAGAAGGGGACCTTAACTAGTGAAACATCAGGCGCTCCCGCTCCGGGCAGCTTGGACGTCTGCTTTGACAGCTCCGCTCCACCTGTGGGAGCTGAGGGTGAAACAGAGACGGGGGCCGACCGAGCGGTGCCTCCCCATAGGCTGCACTTCTCCCCACGTGAGCCTGCCTCAGCTCCCCATTGGGCGGGGCGTCTCCCATAAGAAGAAGCCCCGGGCGGCCGGGGTGGGCGAGTTTCTTTCGCTTTCCTCGGAGGGCTGGAAGCGCCGGTTCTGCTGGAAGCAGCTGCACCGGTACTGACACGTAGCGCATCACAGGGGGCATGTGTTCTGGGTGTGAAAGGGGGTGTGAGTGTGAGTGGGAAGTAAACGTACCTGTTTGGGGAGGGGTGAGGCTTTTTAGGGTCTGTTACTCGCATTGCGCAATGACTTGCTGCGGTTTCTGTACCTCCAGTGTGAACAGAAAGACAGACATAGGGGGCGGGGGGCAGAGAGAGGCCGGGTGTGTCTTATAGGTTTCAAGATAGTGCAGGTGGCTGGGCTTTCACTAGAGTTTGTCTAGGCTCAATCAACAACAAGTGCCCCGGACTGTTGCATTTTAAACCTCTACTTCGGGAAACCCTATCTCCGTGTGTGAGTTAGATTAGGAAGGCCACTCGCTGCTTATCACATTGTCACTTACTTCGACGTGGGACTCAAGAATTCAAGTGATAACGAAAACGAATCATTTCCCAAAGCACACTGACTAGCCTCTGGTTCATTGTCTTCTGCAAACCGGGGAAGCCAGACCTCTGCGTTTTCAGGTGACTGTATATCTCTGTGTTACTATTTCTGTCTATGCACACAGACAGCTCTATCAGCAAAACCACACAGGTATCACATAAACACACACCGATGTAGATATTCTCGCACACAATTAGATATGCGCAATTTATTAACACAACACACACAGAGAATATCACCCCCCTCTTCCCCAAATATTGAGGAAAAATATTGTCAGTAGGTAGGTAAACTTGCTCGAAAAGTTGGGTAGACATTCTGTGCCCTTTCATGTTCACTCCTTATTGTCGTGTGTTGTATTTTGTTGTTAATATTTCAAACCTCTTTGCAAGGGGTGAATCCTAACGTCTTCTTTTTGGATGCGGTGCTATTCAAACTGAGCAAATGTGTTTGTGTGTGTGTGATATCTATATGGATGTGGTAGACCTATGTGGGAATATGGGCACACAGATGTGTGTGTTTGTAGACACAGGAGTGTGTACATGTGTACGTTCCTTAGGGAAAAGACCATCTGTGAAGCAATCTTCTGGCAGACAGTGAAAAGAGGCAAAGATTTGCCTTCTCTGCAATCTTTCCCTGTCCTGGAGTGAATAAAGACATTGCTGGGTGTTCACAGTGGAAGCCCACAATGCTATCAATATAGCGGCCGATAGCGAAGGCATTGATTCCCGACAGGGTAGTTTGGGAGACTTCTCTGCAGCTTGGCTGAGACATGTTGACCCTTAGAGATAATGTGCTCTAAGTTGGTGCTGGTTGACTTGGTGACGAGGCTATGAGGAGGCGGAGAGCTACCGAAGAGGACAAAGATCATTTCCCTACTTGCTCGTGTTCTCGCGCGCGCACACACACACCAGACTTACCTTGCACCCCTCGTCTCGTGGTGCATTTCTGCAAAGCGGTCTCCATGTAAACGCTGCCTGGACTCACCTGTTGTGGTTTGGTTCTCACACCAATTAAGGGGCGCGGGGGGGGGGGGGGAGCGTAAAGCTGACCTTTCCACCCTGTCCCTAGGTCCGGGCGAAGGGGGCAGAGCCCCGCGCTCAGAGACACAGTCTGTGCCCATGGATCTGCCTGTTGGCCGGGGGGCTAACCACGGGCCAGGGACCCGGCAAAGAGCGTGCCTGGGTTGAGAGGGCTCTCCGCTGCTCTGTGCGTGGCAGACAACGGAAACCAATGCCACGGAGCCGAACAGGGCTGAGCAGATTGCTCAAATGCAGGGTTCCCGGGGATCATAAAACCTCCGAGTCCATTACATTACAAATGCGTTTCCGCTATGAATCCATTCGCGTCCCCCGCCCCGCTTAAAAAGCACACTGCACATTTGATTCAATATTGAGCCATTAAGCAATTGCTTTCCCAAGTCATTTACCAGCGGCTCTTATGGATAAATAAACAAAAAAGGCTGTAAACCAATTACAGTGCGGAGAGTGAAAAAAGGATTTTATTAGCAGGAATTACTGATAAACCCGGCTGCTATTTTGGCTCCTCTCCCCCCACCCCACCCTCTCCCCCAGCGAAAAAGCCCAGGCGCTATTTGAGAGCGGAAGGCAAGAAGCAAGCTCCATGTTTTTAACCTGCCACAGCGAGTGGCATTATGATTATTCTCGCAAGAAACTTCTCCCCCGGTGTGTCTCTTCCCGGGCGGGTTTAGGTAGAGGTGGGATTGTCTGGTGTGGAAAAGCCCAAATCTCCGAATCGCTTCATTTCGCACTTTTAGGGCCGGGGCCTGCGAACACTTACCCCGTGGGGGGGGGGGGGTAAAACTTCAGTAAAGGGGAGTCGCTCTGTTGCAGGTCGTGGACCAACTGCGGGAACAGAGCCTCGGTGGCTTTGGCATCTTTGGACTTGGAGTCCCCAGAATTCAGCTGAAGACACACCTTTCAGCAGAACAGCCCTCTGCCGAGCTCGTGCTCTGGTGGCCAGCTCTCTGCCCGCAGCAGATCCGCTACCTCCATTGTCCTTAATGGAGTTTTACCTTTGGTTTCAGCAGGATGAGGATGGTCCCTTTGAGTGGTAAAGCTGCCCTTCAAAGTCACTTCTAAACACACACGCCCTTCCCCTTCCCCGAATACCAGTCCTCTTTCTAGGCTTTTATCCGGGCGCCCATCACCGTGGTAGCTGCTCAGAACGAGCATTTCTGTGCAGCGCTGACAAACAGCCCTGACTCTCTGACAAACCAATGATGGGTCATTCTTGGGCTATTCTCCTGCCTCCAAGTTAGAGCGGTCACAGCAAAGTGAGGCCGCCCGTACAGCCACAGTGGCGTACACAGAGCGAGAAGGCTGACAAGTCAAGTCAGGGCAATAAAAACCACAGCAAATGGATTCACCGCCAGGTAGTACCATTAACCACCGGTGTCCTAATGCGATACTCTCGCTGTAACGAGCATTTCTAAGCAGAACAAACAACCTCCCTTAAAAGTAAATGAATTTCATATAATTTACAGCTAATTCTCTTTAATTCTGCCTTCATGAGCAGGCGATAAGGGAATGTTGCGCTGGTTAACAACAACCCAGCAAACTGAAGTTCAGGAAAAGGTCCCGCTTTTACTTCCAGCTGCAGCACCCTGGCCCTGTGGACACCGTGGCAAAGCTCTCGCGGATTTCAAGCAGGATCACGTCGCTGATCCTAGCACGTTAGCAAGCGCGATCATCCTCCCTCTGGTTTTCCGAGTCCCAGAATGGAGAGGAGAAGGGAGATGAGCTAGGTTTAAAGGTTGACTGTAGATACCCTCCTGCCAGGGCAACAGCGACATTTTCTTACCTTCCCATGACCAGAGGATGGGAGGTTCTAATAAGACCCGTAGCTCTGGAATTAAGCACATTTGAGGAGGAGCAGAACCTCTGAGGCGCTTGGGCTCGGGACAGATCTCACAGAAACAGCTTTTCAGGCCAGGATCTGAATGCACGCTCCGGAGGCATATTGCACACTCATGCTGCATCCAGAACTCCCTTTGAAATGGATGGGAGACCTAGAATGATGAGACATAATGTAGAATGTTGACTAGCTTAGCAAAGATAAGGTTAAGGTGAGTTGATCATCTCCTACAAGTATCCAGGTAGGGGGAATGTATCTAAATACTAGGGGACTCTTAATTTAGCAGCTAAAAGCAGACCAAGATCCAGTGCCTGGAAACTGAAGCCGGGGGGACGGGGGGGGGCGGGAATCAAACCGGAAATAAGTGGCACATTAGACCTGAATTAACCACTGGTACGGATTACTGAAGGATGTGGTAACTTCTCCCTCACTTGGAGTCTTTACACCAAGATTGGATGCCTTTCAAAAAGATATGATCTAATGCAACTAGAAGTTATGGGCTTCACCTGAGACAGGGACCTCGCTGGCTACAAAATGTAGCTCCCAGCACTTCAGTAGAAGCCATACACAGTTTGGGGACATGTCTGAGTGAAACACTCGCCAGGTTTGGCAGAAGAGTGGGTATGGAAACCAGCCAGTTAAAAGTGATGTGCTACCTTTGAGCCGGGTGCATGGCTCCCATAAACATCACATGGGGTGCCACCGCAGGCTGAGAGCGACGCCGAGATCCAGGTTGTGTACAACTGTGGCAAATAAAAGCACCACTTGGAGGAGTCGTCACTTTCTGTGTGTCCTTACCCACATGACATTTGCTGTAAGGACCTCTCAGTAAGATACTGTTCTCTATTCCAAGACAAAAAACCAACCAACCAACGAAAAAAACTAAATTAAAATTCAATCAGGGGTAAGGGTATATATACATCAGTGTTTTAAAGATAAAAACATTACATAATTATATAATTATCTCAAAATCAAGCTTTACAAACCCAGCATTTCAGAAATATAGGTATACTTAAAAATAATGCAAACGTGACATTATGCAATAATCAAAAGATTATAATTAAGACACGTTTGTGGTGCCAAATGGGATTAAACTGGCGGTTTCCTCCCACCCCCCATACAATTGATTTCCCCCCCTTCATGGTGTCACTACAGGGCAGAGCTAAGGGTGATTTTAACAATATACTTCCGTAGCTTAACACCTTCGATCTTCTTTTTAAATTCAACCTTATGTAATGGGGTACTTAGCACTTTTGAAAATCAGGCCACATGCTTAGGGTTGGGATTTTAAATGTAGAGAAGTAAAGCAGGAGCACCATCTGTGAGTTTCAAATTGAATAAATACATAAATAAAACCAAAGGCATATAAGCACCAAATCCTATTGAAATTTACTGGCACTTTT